ATACAACTGAAAACCTGGAATGTTAGTGTGACATTTAAAAACTCATGCACTGTAAAACATATGTTTATAACTAGAATTTAACAGAATAAATATAGTGTTAGGACAGGCCAGGAATCCAATGCTCTGTTCATTCATATGAGAGATAATAAGCCTTGTATTGTCTGGATAATACCTCCTCAATATTACCTTGTAATTCAATTGTTAGTAGGAACATTATAGAATCCAGTCTCATTAAACATACCGAATCTGTCAACATGAATTTGAGTAATGGTATGTACAACCTGGATAATTTTGTGATTAGGAAGATTTGTAACCAGGTTAGACGGTTGGGTCATCTTACCCAATTACCTGAGTACGGACAGTTGCTGTGCTTGGAGATGGCATGGTCATTTTTTTTTATTAAGAAGATTAGTTGGGTCACTGCCTTATGACCGAAAAATTGTGGACACCTGTTGTCCCCTAGGGACTTGATCTCACTCTCTACTGTATATATTAGCCTTGTCAAGTATTACTCCTTAGCCTGTACTCACCCCTGAAGATGTGAATTACAAGAAAGCGCTTGGGAACTTCGTGTTTTCTTGTTTCCTTGTGGTTATCAGCACAGGCCAACCGGCCTATTGCAGACTCCTTATTTTCTTATTTTCTTATGTTCTTATATATATATATATATATATATATATATATATATATATATATATATATATATATATATATATATATATATATATATATATATATATATATATATATATACATATTAGGGATAAATGTTCATTACCGACAACTTTTAAGCATTTATTTTGGAAAAAAATTACGAGACATTAACAGTCATGAATATCTTATAATACATATACAGTATGTAAATATTTTCACATAAAAACTAATCGAACCTGACTTAAATAAACCGAGAATAATCCTTCCTGACCTACATAATTTAGGTATAATCTGGTTACCTTATGATGGAATACCACTGTGTCAGAGATAATGAGTGGGCAGAGTCTGTGCCTAAGGATAGTAATGATAACGAGACGTTCATCTACGCTAAATTCAAGTTATTTAAACTTATGCATTAATCTGAAATAATAACTACATGCAAAGCATAATGACTTTAAGTCATATTAAGTTATTAATTTTATGTTATTTTTTCTATGGAAGTGTGTCAGGAATAAGTCCAACTTACGTAAAGTTAAGACTAGTGGCGATGACATGGAGCATACGGGTATTAAGGGAGTCTCGGGTAGCCAGCGGAGTGCCCGGCTCTTTGTCCATCTCGATGTTTACGAAGGGTAGGTAACGATTCACCACCAGCTGGAATGTGTGGCCCATGAAGTTGTCTAGTTGCTCTGGAAATTTATGGGAGTGAAGACATGTGTGTTACGTCTCTTGGTTGTCTTTATATTACATAAGATTTACCATACCACAAATACGCTGGGAACACTGATATATTTTTCGTCCTAATTCAACTTCAGTAATCTTATCTCATAATGGTGACATCTACGTACAGTATATTTATATTGTTGTACTATGAACAGGAGGATGAAAAGGAAATTTGATGGCATAAAAGAAAAAAAATATTACCACCAGTGAAAAATTTCATTATTGTGTAGTTGACACACCTGGGAAGAGGTTCACACCGCGTTGGAGGCCGGCTGTCAGGCTCCCCCGGTGGAGGGGTTGGAGCTGAGCATCACCTTTGTCACAGTACAAACACCGTCTGTACATCCACACCAGCTCAGTCTCACTTTCTGTACACGCAAGATATATTATATGTAAATAATGATTTTTTTCCAGGATTTTATATATATATAGTAATCACTTAATTATTGTTTAATCAAGATGAATATCATAGAAAATATTTTTATTGTTTACAATATTATTCTTATGTATAACCTGGAGCATTAGGTAATTACTTAATTTTTAGTGATTACTGGACAAAGTTGAGGGTGGGAGAGACTAGAGTGGGTGAATGAAATTAATACCTGGTCCCCAAAACGTTTCGAGACGACGACTGTGGCTGCCAACCCTCTGGTATGAAGAGGATACTCTGATTGATTAATATATAGAGCCCAGCTTAAAACATGATACACATGAGGATTTTCTTTATTAAAATATAAACACATTTTTTAATATCAATATTTATCGATCACCTTCACTGATGATACATACCTCAAATTTAGGCACCTCGCAGTTTATGCCAAATTAACATGGATATGAAAAACTTACATTTATTGTTTTACATCGTACTTTCTGTTCTCAAACCCATTCTAACTGACCGTGCGCGCGTAAGCGAGCTGCGCCAACCTGCAAGACAAGCAAGAGTGCCGAAGCGAAGTTCGGTGTAAACCAGGCAACCGCTGAAGAATGTTTCTTTCTCGTCTTGTCTCACCGCCGTCATGGCAAAACAAAATTTGTGTATTGTGGTCTCCTCACTCCAGGGATGCCTTACTGGAAGACAGAACCATATTCAATTACTGGCTTTTGTGTCTTGCTTAACTTATTACCTCTGATGATATTTTTCTTCCCAGATCTCGTGTTGAGCGATGGTCTCTGGCCTCTGTGGAGGGGGAGGTCATGGAGGGCGAGGTAAAGGGTGTGAATAGTGTTGCGAAGACTGTGGTGAAGGAGGACGGTCTCCACTCCCTCCCTCTCACCCACCACCACCACAGGAATCTCTGGTCGTCGCCACACTTCACACCACTCCAGGAACCTGCGTCAAAATGTGTAAATTCAAAGTTCCGGTAAGGACTCGAGCACACACACACACACACACACACACACACACACACACACGCACACACACACACACACACACACACACACACACACACACACACACACACACACACACACACACACACACACACACACACACACACACACACACACACACACACACACATACACACACACACGACCAGCCTGGTCGTCTTCTCTCAACTCCACCCAAGAACGTTAGCTAGAGAAGGTACAGAAAAGGGCCTGCAGAATTATGCTCGGCGCAGAATACTCCGGCTACATCAACGCCCTCTCCACCCTGGAAATGCCATCCCTCAGTGACCTCCACCACCAAGCACTGGAAAGGTTTGACAGTGGACTACTGCACCACCCTCGTCATCCCCACCTCCTGCCACCTGCAGCCCCCCACCCAACTAGCGCAGTTCGCCACTATAACAAAATTCAGCCCATAAGAGCCCGCACCGATAGATATAAGAACAGCACCATCCCATCTATTGTTAAAATAATAAACAACTCCTGATTTATGTACTGTACAGCCCTGTAAATGTATTCAATGCATATTATATCATTATGTCTAAATCAAATGTAAGTCTGTATATTTTCAGACACCGGCTGCAACTCTATTAATAAACCGTTTATTATTATTAATTATTATTATTACACAGAAGTCATCTCTAGTAAACTATTTTCCTCAGGATTTAATTTAGTTTCGACACACATAAGCACAAAGTGAGACCAACTGTTAAATACATTGTGATGACAATGTGGTAAAGTTGATAAGTTGGGAGATGTTAGAAGTACAAGTATATATAATGACCAAGGAATGAAGGAAACTGCAGCAGATCTTTTGGTCTATACAAGGCAGCCATGTTTACACTAACCCTTGTCACTCATATGTACTGTATACCCAACCTATATTTAAAGCTTCGTAAAGACATCGTGTTAATAATGGTGATTGATAGAGCTTCACTTATTCATAACTCTATTTCCGTACCAACATTTACCTAATTTTATCCTAAATCGAAATCTCATTAATTGAAAACCATTGTGATAAGTTTGCTCTTGATTTGAATGTTTATTTAACCCCATCTTCGTTTTATACACTTCATCCTCACTCCACGGATTAATCTTTTCATCTTGTTAGGTCATTATTTAATACGGTGACCAAAACTGAATCGCATAATTCAATTGTTTTCTCACATATGCAAGAAATAGTTTTAAAATAAAATCCCTCAACTTAATTACTAACGCTCCTAGATATGAACATTAGTACTTTTTCCCCAAAACGAATTGTTGTCTATGTTTGAGGTCCTTTCTTATAGTTTTCTCAAAATATTCCTCACACTCGAATATCTTAATATTTATGGTTTTCAACTGAAATCTATTTCCCCTTTTCCAATCCCTAGTATTATAACTTTAAGTTTTCCACATTAATTTGTGTCTGCCATTTTTCAGTCAACATTAACTTTTTTTTGTGAATCAATCAATCAGAGAACCGCTCTACACGCATCTGTCCCATACAATAGCCCTTGCCATATAAAACCTTTCAGCAGCCTCTTTCTCCAATTAATGTTAATGTCTCTTTAATGATGTCTTTTAGATTATTAAATGAGGATTTTGCCTGCCCTGTTTTTAGGTATCAGTAAGATGACCTAAATCTTATATGTTGGCCCCGTCTTCTCACGGTCTTTATTTTCATAACTCTTTGAAACATCTTTTAGGGTTAATTTTCACGTCCGTAGCCACTTTAATTTAATGATCAATCTTTACTTTTCTTATATCGTTTTTTATCACTGGTTACTACACTGAAAAAATTCTGATGGTGAACTTCACTGTTTGATTGATCTACATCACCTTTTTTCTTTCCAATAAAATTCTGTAAGTTATTAATCATTCATTTCAGGTAATTATTATATGAGCTTAGTTTTTATGCAGTTTATTTAGTTCTTAGACTTTAAACAATCTACTGTTTAAAATGTGAGGTACTCAGCTACAGTGTATCCCGTCATTAGTTCACATGTCAAGGTAAGTTGTGGTGAGGATGTGTTTTATACACCAAATTATGACAAAACACCGTCACTCAACTGCCTACCCCAGGTGTAATAACTTGCTCTGGGGAAATCAGGGAATATAATGGAATTTTTCCTCTGAATGGCACTAAGTGCTTTCCAAACTTTATTTACTTATGAATGATGTTTCCTATCTTACTCGCAAAATATTTTTGTCTGCTTAATAGAACCAAGTACTGTACAGTATATTATTCTCCTAGTTAAGTTCATCTACTTTGCATCCAACAAACGACATAATCATTCATCAATATTCACATGAAAAAGAGGCTTTTGTTGTTGTTGTCGAGGTGTATGAAGAGGGCACGGCAGGTGAGTGTAGCGTCTCCCCACAACCCCTGCAGGAGCTTGTCCCTGGTTAGCTGGTCCTTGAGAACTTGATCTCCATTATTCCAGTTATTTACTGACTCCTTTGTGGCTACTTGCGTCTGTAAGAACAACCGCCACGCCTCGACCACCATCACACTCTCTCTTATTCTTACCAACTGGCTGGAAAAAAAAAGATCCGTTTTATATATAAAATAAAAAATCAAAAGAACATAAGGACGGACAGGCAAACCATAAACATTATACCCCATGATGGTTAAATTTTTATGTAGCATCGTTTCCTCCATTCCCCCCAGTACACACAAAACTAAACCTATGCTTATGTAATCAGACACGTTAGCATAAAGTGCACTCGACCACTTTTACTTTTTCGTTTGTAAAGCTAAATATCATTCACAAGTGGTAAACTGGGGTGGAACCCAGGACGCGAAAGAACATTTTATTAGAAAGAAGGAGAATTGTGTACCCATTTTGGTTCCCACATTGCAACCTGAAAATATATTTAGTTTTTAGTCTTTTGAAAAATTTCACAATTTGTAGCATTATTTTATAGGTGTATTATTTCGGTAACGTGAACATAAATAAAGTAGAGCTCATATAATACGTGTAGGGAGAAGAAACATGTAAATGAGAAGAAAATGAAACAGCTGATGTGATCGAGGATAAAGCCCAGTGACTAGTTGTAAGGAGCTGGTTTTCTCTCCAATACATCACACATGTAAGGCAAAATATTGATCCTCGGTTAATGATGTGGAGCTCTAATTATTTTACTCACCTGACCATCGTTGAGAACACTGGGCTTTGTGTTGTTGTATCGACCAGCACCAAGTGACACCCAGCAAGGTGTTGCTCCACCACCTGGCTCACCACCTCGCCCACCTGGTTTATTCGGTGGTCCACCCCCACACCGCTTTGATACACGGATCCCGTCAACCAATCGTCTGTTTGGTCACTGAGGCCGGCCTTACCTTCCACAGCACTACCGATACACTTTCTCACCATCAGCAACGCAATCAGTGCCACCATACGTGACGATGTCGACATATTTGCTGCAAATGTGAATAGAGATATTTTTCAACCTTTATCACGTGTGTACCCCGAATGTACAACCTGTAAGAACCAAATCAAGATCCCAGTGGGGAAAATTATGTCATTAAATCAAAATAAACTCAAATGATTTGAAAGTGCAATTATTATCTTTAGTCAATCTAAAAGTCCCCCCTGTATATCAAGATAGTTATTTAGTTCTGGTGAGCGGTAAATGACACTCACAGTATGGCGGAGAAGGCCCAATATAGAAATGGAGGATGGAATGCCATGAATCAAAATCAGGGTTTGAGGATCTGCCAATGACGAGGTTTTGGTTGAATGCTGCCTTCAGTTTCCAGTGTTCCATCCACATACTTGTTGAAACGCTTTTTGCCAGTCTCTTTGCTAAGGCAGCCTGACAAGACATCCTTGTTCAATACAATTTGAAGTTTCTTGGCCTGTTCACCAAATTAAACCCCAGTAGGCCGGAAGGATATCAAAGTACTACTGTGAAAACACATTGTTCTTTTATCAAAATTGGCCATCCATTGATAACCTGCCACGCTGGGGTAGCCAGGTAGATTCCTGAGCGCCAGGCCTGGGTAGGGAAAATTACGGTCCAGCGAATCTCCAACACACCGGTGCCAGCGCCATCCTCGCGGGCATTCTTATGAGGGGGGTTAATTGGCGTCGTTCTTTCAACAATGGAACTCCTCTCTTATAATCAGCAGAGGTACTGCACTGAAGCGGGAGGTTCAACGCACCCTCCCTCCTCCCCTGCCGCCGCCTAACACAGCCGGTTAGCTAGAACAAACTGACGACATCCGTATCACTAAGTCATCAATCCCGTCATGGTGATAGAATAACTGCCCGTGAATATTCGCTGACTGGTTTGCCAAAGTAGCGACACAAGAAGAAGATATTGAAGCCAATTCGCCCTCTCCCTTGAACCAGGCGATTCGACGAACATTGACAAACCTGAAACAAACGTCATGAGCAGACGACAAATCGTGAGCCTGGCCACCCTGTTTGTAAATCCTTGTGGTCAACCCGACTCTCACACTTTCTCTCTCTACATCCCTTCTCACTTGCCCTCTGACCTCCTAAAGGTGGGGGTGTCCCCAGCCGTTACCAACGCCTCTCACCAGATATCCTCTCCTCCTAGTGACAGGTCTTGCACTTGAAATTATTTGGGACCTGTTAATGCTTTGCCATAAACAGATGACATGTACCGGGAACTCTTCACACTCTCAATGTTCTGCACTTTATGTTTTGCAGACAAAACCTTCTGTGGCTTTTATGCCCTAATGCATGAAAATACAAAGGTAAGCACATGAACTTAGCATGCTTCCCAGATGTTGGAGGTGCCCACAAACTAGACCAGGCAATCTACAAAAATCTAACCTTGGCCACATTTTTGGTTCATTCTATTTGAATTTAAAAATATGAAGAGACGTATTATTCCGTCATATCTTTCATGAGATTTTAACTTATCATCTTATAATAACATCACGAACATGAAGTTTCCTGTGTTTTAGCAACTGACACTCACATCGCCAAATTTTGGTGCTGACGTCACTATGTTCTCTTGCAATGAAAGTCTCCCATTTTCTTCTTGGTTTTAAGTCTTCATAAGTCTTGTACTCCTTAATCTGAGAAAGTTCAAAGTGGAATATAAACTTCTATTGTCTGTAACTCGCACTACTGTATATTCTCAGCACCTTCCATCACTGATCACTGGCGGTGTTTACGTTCTGTGTGTAACAGTGTAGAGTAAGAGGAAAAAACTGAAGAACAATTCTAGAGAGCAAATATAAACAAACTTATATACTTCATCTATTTATGTGACCTCCAGGCCTGAGGTTCACTAAGTCTGCTGAGATACGAAGTTCATAACTACTAGATCTGTAGTCCATACGAACTACCGTAAGAACGATTCACTAACGGTTATGATATCCTACACCATAAAATGTTTTCCCAAAACTGTTGTACATTGTTTTCCAAACAAAACAGTTAATATGAATTCCGAAGACTCCCAATCCGTCTGAGCTGAGCTACAGGGAAAGGGTATTTATGAGCACTACAGTACTGTATTCTCAGTTAAACGTTGGTCACTGACAGACGCAAGACGTCCGCTCCTACATCCACTAGGTTGCTGCTTTGTGAAGAGTGTACAGACAGAAAAATGTCGATAATTGATTATAATAATGTTTGCTTTAAAGTATTTTCTGCAGCAGCTGAAGATGATGAAGGAGATCATGTAGTTCTTGATTGTTCTACTGTTATAGGGACACTAAGTTACTTTATTCACGGTATTTTACAATCATCCCTGAAGAGAATGACAACTACTGGTAATATACTCCACCATGTGCGTAGACTAATACCTTATCCAAAAGGATTAACTTGTGCAATAGGAGTATTAACTGACGTGTCAACTGTGTTGAATGATGAAAAACTTGTAGAGACGTTTACTGACATCGACGGCAACACCGATTCGACAATGTATTTTTTCAGGGACAAGTTCCATTTCTCCGATGCTGAAGATATGACACGCTCTATTGAACGGGTCAATGGACAAGTAACATTACAGTCGAGGAGAGTCATTTCCGACCCCTTAATTTTCTTGGATACATCTGAAAATAGATGCCGGCATCACTATGGCAACAAGTTCTGTATTCGATGGAGGAAAGTTGGGTGATTTAATGGGAGGAAAAGGTGGAGTTTACATATCTCAAGACATATTTGCCAATATATGTATGATGTGTTTCAAAGAGGATTTTGTAGAACTTGGAAATAACATTGACGGTAGGATATATTGTAAGAGGTAATGGTGTTATTCGGATGTAACTCACGTATGTGTAGACAAAGAACATCAAGTTCTCACTATCAAGTTGCTCCATACTACCGACGACGAGGAGAATCTCTATACATCTACATGCCATATGAACCAGCAACAAAAACCCGGTTGGTGAAAGTGGCGAGGATTTTGCTGACGAACGTGAAGCCCTTGAGAAAGTTTAGCAACCTTCAAGGAAGTGTATTCCCATATTCAATATATAAAAAGTTGCTACTGCCACACGATTAAAAACCACTACTACTAAAACTACTCAGCCTCCCCAATAGCCACACCTTCGCCGCCATTTCATTAACTTAATATTAAATATCCTAATACATAAGTAGCTATCCTAGTTGTGTTGAATAAGTTGAGCCGCACATCTATGCGGCATTCAGTGACTGTAGCCTCATAGTCAATATCTGCAGCTGTTGTCGGCTTTGGGACCGAAACTCTCGTTCCCCTGCAGCAGAGCAAAAGCCGACCGAAGGAGAGAAGGACAGTTAACATCTCATCCAGGCTGTAACATAACTTCTGGGCTGCTGCTTCTGTTCGGAGATCACCTCCGTGAGTCTGGCGTAAAACATCTTGCATGGTCCCATCCACCAGAGGTTGTGAGGCTGTCTTGATCAACGTTTTGAATTCTCTCCCCATATTCCCTTATCTTGTCGTTCTCGTTCCTCCTGTGTGCAGCATCGAGGGCTAAGTTTAGTGACATGCGGCCATGGGATAAAAATCCTGATGTCGAAGATGTCTTGCTGTCCCCGCTTCCAGAATCCTCGAGCACTGACGTCAACAGGCTTCGTTGGATGTGTTTGAGTCCTATGTTGGAAAGATCTCACCGTCCAATGGAGGAGGTCGGTTCTACCATGACATCGCGGTAGATTTCCTTCAACATATTTGCTGTGATATCCTTACTTCGTCATGCCTCATGCATATAAGCCGCCTTTCTTGCACACCATGGCGTGATCGACGTCATAGGAGAGCCACACACGCATTGGGAGGGCAAACCTTCTACTGGCTTACCCTACCTTAGAGCAATGGCATCTGTAAATTCTTGTTTATTGAGACTGAAACCATTTGCCCTTATTGGTAACATAGTTAACCAGTTCGAGGCGCCCACCTCCTGTGCTATAGCTACTTTTTTTTAATTCTCTGGAACTTGCAGCAACAGTTGGTGCAACTTATCACTTTGGCCGTGCTGTCTTTCTGTCATAATGGACCTTCGAATCTTGTTTACTTCACTGGTATCCACCTCACCTGTTGCGTTCTGAGCTATCACGTGGTCCGTTAGGGCTGCCGTGAGCTTAACTGAGGTTTTGATGGTGGCAGCAATCTCCTCTGGATTGGTCAGTCCCATTCCTCCCAGTCTCGGTGGTAGTGCAAGGGTGATCTTTCTGCTGGGGTTAAGTGAGGGTGTTTCACTACTTTGGGAATGAAATTGACACTGATAGCTTTTCCAGAGTGTGGAGGAGGTCTGATATCAAGGATAGTGCTCATCAGGTAGTTCCAGCGATGCTTGACTCCATGGGTGAATGCTGCAAAAGCCGCATGTGGCTCTGTGTTAGCAATCTCAGACAGAGCTTGGATTTCCCTAACCCACTCAAACACCTTTTCCCGTTACGTACTCGGTCTTGAAGTCCGTCGTGCCAATTACTGTGCCTCGGTGTCTTTGGCCATCATTTGTTATTTTGACCTCACTTCCACCGAACACCTCCATTGCCCGTTCATGATGATCTGGCTTCACAATGAGGAAAGTCTTGCTGGCGTTTGGTGGTACCCTATTTGTGGACCTCGTGATGTTACAAATCCTACTTTTGATGTCCTCCACTTTTCCTGCTCCTGTAAGGTCATCAGCGTACGCCACTTGCTTGACCTCAGTTGTTTCAAATTATATTGTTTGTTGGAGCACGGATAGGCCTATTGCGTACATTGCCATTGCAACAGTGTCCCCCTGCGTTGTTCCTCATTTGACTGTATGTTGGTATCACCTCTTAGAGCCTTCTTGTTTACTATATAAATAGGGTGTGTCTACGGAGGCGAATTTTTTTTTGAGTTTGAAAAATCGGCCCATGGTATTAATGATGTAGTTCTATGTGTAGAATCATATGATATCTTCAGATTTGAAAAGTTTTCATTTTTGCTAGGTAAAACATTTTAACTTGAAATCTTATGAAAATT